GGTGAGCAAGGGGGTGAGGGATGGGGGGGAGGGCGAGCAAGGGGGTGAGGGATGGAGCAGGCAGATGGGCAGGGTGAGTCCCCCATGGCTCTGGGGGGAAGACAAAGACTGTTGCCCAGTGCAGGTGGACGTCCTGCGGGCCCTGGGAGCTGAGATCGTGAGGACACCCACCAACGCCAGGTTCGACTCCCCCGAGTCACACGTGGGGGTGGCATGGCGGCTGAAGAATGAGATCCCCAATTCTCACATACTCGACCAGGTGAGGCCCCTGGCCAGGAGGCGGGGTTTGCACTTGGAGATTTATGCCTTAGTTGGGCGTTTCCCAGGGGGTCTCTGGCAGGGATCTGGGGCTGGTGCCGCAGCTGCACAGGAGTGGGGATAGTGAGGCTTGTGGCTGGCTCATGGGTTCTTTGCTCTCCTTCCATGCAGTACCGCAATGCCAGCAACCCCCTGGCTCACTATGACACGACCGCCGAGGAGATCCTGCAACAGTGTGATGGTGTGTACTTCTGTACTGATCTCTCTGTCTGTCTTGGCTGCATTTACCCTGGACACCTGGGAGTGTACAAGTCACTTGTCCTCTCCTTGGTAAACTCCTATTTAGCCTTCAAAACTCAGATCAAATGTTCCCTCTGTGAAGTACTGTCTAGAGCATTTCCCTGGAGCAGTTTCCTCCCTCTCCTATGACCTCTTGGCCTTTGCTTGTGCCTTACCTATAATGTCAAATGCCCGGTATGGTCGTATTTGATTACCAACCATCTCTCCAGATCTGCAGGAGCTCCTCGTGCAGGGAGTGAGGAAATCCAGGGCCCGGGCTGGTGCTAGGCTCACAGTTGGGGCTTCATGCTGTTGAAGGGCAGTTGGGATCTAACCCTGACTTGGCTGTTGAATGCATGCCTGGAATAGTAGTTGTGACGTGTGCACATAGCCTGCTCCGTCTAGGCATGAGGCTCTTGGAATCTTTTCCACATGCTCAGTGCCAGGGCCCTGAGGGCTGGCGGTGGTATTTTCCCAAGAGATCCCTGTAGGAGCAGCTGCTGGAAGCTTGGCACCCTGGCATCCCCTGGAAATCAGATGTTGGCACTGGCCTGCAGGTAGCCTCGGTCCCTCCCAGGAGCCAGGCAGGAAAGGCAGGCGTGTGCTCGCCCTGGGTTTATGGTGAGAATTCTCTCCGTTGGTACAAGCAGTCCCATCTCACAGGAGGGTCCGGCTTCTGGGCTTTGCCAAGTCAACCATGCACGGACTTGCCCAGCCAGACAGGGTGAGTGCTGGGGGACTCTGGCCAAAGTCTGAGTGATTTAAAGTCAGCTCTCATTTTAATCAACCAAAAATCCAGCAGCCCAGGAAGGTACATGATAAAGAGCCTTCATCTGCTGACCCTCAGCCACCTGACGGGCCTCCGGTCTTTAGAATTCCAGCCAAATGGGGGTTTCAAGGGCCAAGTATCATTGAACAAAGACTTGAACAAATCACACTGGGATCTCTTTATCTGTGATTTTTTGTTGTTGTTGTTTTTGAAGAGACAGGGTCTCTGTTGCCCAAGCTGGTGTCCAAGTGGCACAATCCCAGCTCACTGCAGCCTCGACCTCCAGGGCTTAAGCATTCTCCGCCCCCCACCTCAGCCTCCCAAGTAGTTGGGAACATAGACTCTTGGCACCACACCTGCACACCTGGCTCTTTTTCCTTTAAAAAAAAAATATATATATATATATTTTTTTTTTTTTTTTTTTTTTTTTTAGGTCTTGCTGTTTTGCCCAGGCTACTAGTCACCAACTCCTGGGCTCAGGCAGTTCTCTCACCTCAGCCTCCCAAAGTACTGGAATTATAGGTGCAAGCCAGCACTTTGGGAGGACAAGGCAGGCAGATTGCTTGAGTCCAAGAGTTCAAGACCAGCTTGGGCAACATAGCAAAGCCTTGTCTTTTCAAAAAAAAAAGAAAAGTTTCCTGTCTTGGTCTCCCAAAGTACTAGAGTTACAGGCACACCATGGTGCCCAGACTTCCCTGAATTCTGTTTACAGATAAAAGATTGTAACTGAGGGACTACTTGAATTTGAAAATAAGTTTTTCTTTTGAACTTTCATTTATTTATTTATTTATTTATTGAGTTGGAGTCTCATTCTGTTCCCCAGACTGGAGTGCAGTGGCACGCTCATAGCCACCGCAGCTTTGAACTATTCTTTCACCTCAACCTTCCAAGTAGCTAGAACTATAGGCAAGCGCCACCATGCCTGGCTAATTTTTTCATTTATTGTAGAGATGAGGTCTCACCGAGTTGCCCAGGCTGGTCTTGAACCCCTGGGCTCAGGCATTCCTCCCGCCTTGACCTCTCAAAGTGCTGGGGTTACAGGCGTGAGCCATAGTGCTTGACTCTTGTGAATTTTCAATCACCTCCTGTGATTTGGGCTGAGTGTGTATTCACAGGCTTAAGAGTGGTGAGCCAGTCGGGCTGTGACCTGAGAATGTCCTCCCTCTACCAGGAAAGCTGGACATGCTGGTGGCTTCGGCGGGCACAGGGGGCACCATCACAGGCATCGCCAGGAAGCTGAAGGAGAAGTGTCCTGGATGCAGAGTGAGTGGCGTGGCAGGCCCGGGGGTGGCCTGGACTTGCCGACACTTGTCACCCGCAGCCTAGGCTGCAGTGGGAGGTTTTGGCAGCCATCCTTTGGCACTGTGTGTGGAGCGGCCCCATGCTATAGGACTGCAAGTCCTCATTCCTGACCTTTCTGCTCAGCGTCCTGGCATGTGTGCTGTTTGTTTCTGTGCTGCCCGGGAGGTGATCAGGGAGGCCCTGGCAGATAAAGGAATAGGCAGTGCATGAACAAATGAGCTGGGGCTGGGTGAGCACTCATTGACCAGTGTCCTGGGGCTTCCTGTGCCAAGTGGGGGTCAGGGTTCCTTTGGGTGGGTTCCAACAGTTAGCCAGGAGTTTGAAGCTCTTGGGTCCCAAGTGTGCCCCACCTACACAAAGGGATTTGAAAGACAGGGCAGAGCCGGGTTCGGTGGCTCAGCCTGTAATCCCGTGCTTTGGGAAGCTGAGGTGAGTGGACTGCCTGAGCCCGCGGGTTCGAGACCCGCCTGGGCAACTTGGCGAGACCTCATCTCTACAATAAATAAAAATTAGCTGGGCGCGGTAGCGCGCACCTGTAATTCCGGCTACTCGGACGGCTGAGGCTGAAGGATCGCCGGAGCCCAGCAGGTCGAGGCTGCGGTGGGCGGGAGTGGCCACTGCACTCCAGTCTGGGCGTCAGAGTGAAACTCCAACTCAAAAAAAAAAAAAATCTTATCTTGCCGGGATCAGTGGCTTAGCCTATAATCCCACGCTTTGGGAGGCTGAGGTGAGTGGATTGCCTGAGCCCGTGGGTTCGAGACCCGCTTGGGCAACTTGGCGAGACCTCATCTCTACAATAAATCAAAATGAGCCAGGCGTGGTAGCGCGCGCCTGTAGTTCCAGCTACTTGGAAGGCTGAGGCTGCTGTGGCTGGCAGTGGCCACCGCACTCCAGTCTGGGTGACAGAGTGAGACTCCGACTCAAAAAAAAAAAAAAAAAAAAAATGCAGGGCAGGGTTCCTGAACTTGGGGTTAAAGCAGGTCTGTTGCCTGCCCTCCAAGAAGAGGTCAGTGTCCTGTGCTGTCTTATGTCCCCGAAGGCTCCCAATGCCCATGGTCAGGTGCTCTGGGTTGTCCTGGGAGCCTTGTTCAGAGTAGCCCCCTAGGAAGTCACCTCCCCCAGCCACCTGCCTGTCTTCCTGAGTGTCCTGCACTGAATGTTTAGTCCAGGTTAGGTCTAGGCCTGCATTCCTGGTGTCTCATCCTGCCTCCGAGTCCTGGGAACAGACTCGCATCCACAGGCAGATCCTTGCCAGGCCCCTGTTAATGGCAATAACAGTTGGGTGTGTCTGGATGCAACTCTCCTGGTCTGAGCCCCAACATCACCTGCCCCGCAGATCATTGGAGTGGATCCTGAAGGTTCCATCCTTGCTGAGCCGGAAGAGCTGAACCAGACGGAGCTGACGGCCTACGAGGTGGAGGGGATCGGCTATGACTTCATCCCCACCGTGCTGGACAGGACAGTAGGTCGCGGCCAGAGTGTGCCCCTGCAGGAGGGGGCTGTAGCACCTGTGCCAATGTCGCTCATGCTTGCACAGGGTGCCCGTCAATTTCCTACTGGGTGGGAACAACAGGGCGAGCTCTGGCACTGTGGGTGGAAGCTGGTCTCGAAGGTCGAGACAGGGTAGAACGATGTCCACCTGCATGGCCCATCCTTACTGGTGAAGACTTAGGGAAGCCGGCCGGGGGAGGGTGGCCTCTGGCTCAGGCACAGAGCAGGGGAAATGCTGGAGCAAGAAGACCCTGGAAAACTCCCCTTAGGAAGTGGGAGAGGCGGCTTTGGTCTGAGTGAGAGACAAATGAAAGGGCCCTGCAGGGATAGTGGCTGCATGGTGGGGGCTAGCAGGCAGTTTTGCTTTGTGTGAAAGGTGTTGGCACCAGGTGGGTAGAGAGTAGAGAGCTCCAGGCTTTCGGGCATGAGTTACCCTCCCCAGAGGAGAGGCCGTGCCCTTGGGGGTCCCAAGGACTGGAACAGAGATCAACCATGTGGTTGCCCCACCCCTGCTGCTGCCAGATGATCCTGTAGTTGTCTGTGTCAGCTGAACTTCGGGCTGTGAAGGCAGAAATAATTTGAGAAGGGTTTATCAAAAGCCACATGGGATCTGCCTGGGAAGACGCACCAATACACTGGGGCTTGTTCCAAAGCCTGGTCCACGTTGGAAGGCTTTCCTAGGAAAGCTTAGAAGGGAAGGGCACTCCTTATGCAGAGTTGTCCTTTCTGTTGGAGAGGTTATAGTCAGTGGCTCCAGGTGACGACACATACACTGAAATAGTTTATGCCGAAGACAATCAGTAAAGCCTCATGGTTCAGAAACAAATCAGCAAAACCTTATGATTTAGAAACAAGTCACGATCCTGTCAGTGTCAGTAGGTTATGTATTATTTAGAACGTCAGACTTCCCAGAGTTTATACAAGCAGGATCGCTTCAAGGATTGGATATAAGAGCATGTGGTCATAGGTTGGGTATAAGGATATGTCTGGCCATAGGCGAGAGGTATCATCAAAGGCAAAACCAGGTCATTCATCTTCTAGGGAAAGGGTGACATGGGCTAGAGACACGGGGATGCGGGCTCTGTCCCGTTTTTTCTGCAAAGCATCTCTCTGGAGAGCAGGACTTTGTGGAGTCTCACTCTTGCTCCCTGGTGCCCTGTCTGGGTCTGACCGTAGGTGGTGGACAAGTGGTTCAAGAGCAATGATGAGGAGGCCTTCGCCTTTGCCCGCATGCTGATCTCACAGGAAGGACTGCTGTGTGGTGAGTGGACCTGTGGTGACTGGGTTCAGGGACAGTGGGGGTGCAGAAACAGCAGGGGCACGGGGACAGTGGGGGAACAGGGACAGCCGGGACACAGAGACAGTGAGGCTGAGGGGATAGTGGGGGCATGGGGACAGTGGGCGTGGGGACAGCCGGGGCACAGAGACAGTGAGGGTAAGGGGACAGGAGGAGTGTGAGGACAGCCAGGGCATATGCCCTCTGCCAGCCGCCAGCTCACACATGAGACACAATTGCAGTTGTTCTGTGGGATGGCGGTGGCCATGTGTCCTGAGTGGTGTCTTTGTCTGCCCAGGTCCTCACTGCAGCCAGTGGGGTCACTTTTGCAGGTGAAGGCAGGGGGCCACAGTGTAGGGTTTTGCGCTGCCCTTCCAGGATGTGTTTTTACGACAGGGCCCAGACTCTCATGACACTTATTTTTTCTAATCAAGACCAGCCTTGTCCTTGGGGTGAAAGGTCCTCACCGACAGGGACCCAAGGCCAGGACTGGGAACTTGGAATGCCTTGGGAGGGCCTGTCCCATCTCCAGAGCTTCTTGTCTACCCTGTCCTCTTTGGAGCCTGAGGCCCATCCTGTACCAACCCCTCCGGCTTCCTAGCACTCCCATAGCCTCTGTCTATCCTGATTGGGGTGGACAGAGCAGGGAGTGCCACTGACCAACCACATAGGAGAGCAAGGGTCCCGCAGGGGACATCAGCTTGGTCTAAACCTCAGGGGATTCAGAGCATGCACTGATCATCTGAAACTCTCATGCAGGGAATGTTTGTGGCCATTTAAATGGCCTTCCCTCTGTGCCGTGTCATTTTGGGGGTGGGGACAAGGAAGATGGAAGGAAGACAGCCTTTAGCATGGCCAAGTCCCCTGATAGCTGAGCCCCAAACTAGAGATTGGAAATGAATCTCTCTTAATTAAAAAAAGGTTCCCAAATGATGTTGCTATGAAAAGATGACTTGGACTGGGTATGGTGGTTCACGCCTGTAATCCCAGCACTTTGGGAGGTAGAGGTGAGAGGATTGCCTGAGTCCACAGGTTTGAGACCAGTCCAGACAACTTGGTGAGATCTTGTCTCTACAATAAATAAATAAATAAATAAACTGGATGTGGTGGTCCATGCCTGTAGTTCCAGCTACTTGGAAGGCTGAAGAGGGAGGATCGCCTGAGCCCAGCAGGTCGAGGCTATGGTGGCCATGAGCATGCTACTGTATTCCAGCTGGGTGACAGAGTGGGATTCTGACTCACAAAAAAAAAAAAAAAAGAAAGAAAAGGTGACTTGGGCCAGGCGCATTAGCTCATGCCTGTAATTCCAGCACTTTGGGAGGCTGAGGGAAGAGAATTGCCTGAGCCCAGAAACTCGAGACCATCCTGGGCAACAATAGAGAGACCTCATCTCTACTGTTGAAAGAAAAAGAAGCGAAAGGAAAGAAAGAGTGCCATGGTTCTTATAGTTACTGAACTCAGAATTCTCAGCCTCCCCTTTTCCAGCGTCAGTGAATAAACAAGCCCACGTCTTTAGGCTGGAATGCAGGCCCGCATGATCTCCTGGAGAGGAGAGCCCTCTTCCTTCGGGGTGGGTTCCTGGTGGCCCTTAGAGCTTCTCAACTGCCTCGGGCCTCCCTAAACCAAGCCCAGACAAGCTTAGGGTTTCTGGGGTCAGGGATGTTGATGTCCCTGTGAACTCCAGTCTCTTTTATGAAGTGGGATCCAGTGTCACCTGCCTTGTAGGGCGGCTGTGAGCAGTCAGTGAGCCCTCAGGCATGTGCTGGAGGCTCTATCCTCACTTGCTTGGAGGCCTGCACCACATCAGCCTTTTCCTGGCACCAGAGCCCTCACCCGCTTGCATAGAAGCTCTTCTGCCACAAGGTCTCTGCTGTCCTGGTTAGGGTTTAGTTATAGGCTGATGTCCAGTGAGAAGTAGGGTCCTCTCAGCCCTGAGACCCAGTCAGTGCCCCTTCCCAGAGATGACCACTCTTGACTGATCCTTGCAGAGTATGTTTGGGTGTGCACCCATGCATGCATGTGCACACCATTGACAGATCCCCATGAAGCCTTCCAGAGTGTGTTGGGGTACTCACATTGCATGCACGTGGACATTTGTGCACACACGCGCATATACACATGGGCACATGTGTGTCCGTGTATGCACATATATACATGTGCATACATGGATACACATGCATACACATACGCACACACACATGTCCATGCATACTCACATTGGCAGTCTTTGGCCTTCTTGGCAGGTGGCAGTGCCGGCAGTGCAGTGTCCGTGGCCGTGAAGGCTGCCCAGGAGCTGCAGGAAGGTCAGCGCTGTGTGGTCATCCTACCCGACTCAGTGCGGAACTACATGTAAGAAACCTGTGCTCTCTCCCTCCCTGGCTTCCCATTCCCCTCCCTCTTGGGGACCCCTCCCTGGATGCTGCCACATGCCTCCCCTGAGAGCTGGAAGCCAAGAGTGGGGAGGCCAGCAGGTCCCTGCAAGCTCTGCCTCACTCTCCTGGTCTCGTGTGTCCTCGCCTGTGCTGCCCTGGTTTTGTAGCCATCAGCGTATCCGTGGTGGAAGCCCTGATGGGGCTGGCAGAGCCCCTCACATAAGGGTGACTCTGCTCCCTCCAGCCCCTGCCTCTGTCCCTCTGGTGTTTCCCTGCCATCCTCTGGGGTCCCTGGGCTCCATGGTCCTCAGACCAGGTCCTGTGATGCCTCCCACCCACCCTGCACTCACCTGTGTCCTCCCCTGCACTCCTGAATTGACCAAGGAAAGTGCAGCCCAGGAGAGCCCTGTAGTCAGGTGCTCTGAGGCCTGTGGCCTCAGGACAGCATGACTAGGTGGCCCCTAGGACTTACTATGGAAGGTTTCACTGAGCTTCACAGAGCCTGTAGCTTTTTTTTTTTTTTTTTTTTTTTTTTTT